CTTAATAGTAAAGTTGGGCCCATAGGGGCCCACCATGGGTCCCCATTTTGATAATCTGAACCGTTTAATATGTAGAACTCGTGTAGTACTATATGCCTGTTAAAAATCACGTCTATCGGATATCTCTAACTACATAATCAAATCAGTTTTGTTACAGTTAACAATTAACAAAAAAAAAATAAGACGATCAGATAACTATCGATATCCAATCAACGTGATTTTTTATAAACATATATTACTCGACGAGTTCTACACATTGAACGGTTCCGATTAAAAAAACGAGATCCGTGGTGGGCTCCCACGGACCAAACAACACCATCCAATCAATCACCGAGAATGAGACAATATTTCCTCAACACTCACCCAGCCGGCTCCCCTCCATCTGTACGGCCTCCTACCCTATCTTCTTCTACACACTTATTTATTTAATTTTTTAATACACATTTTTTTTATAAAAAGTCAAAAAGTTAACCCAAACATTCATATTTTTTTCCTCAACTTTTTAGTTCAAAAAGACAAAAAGTGCACTTCTTTAAGACATCCCAAACAACCCCTAAGTTCAAAAAAAATCCTTAAAAAGCCCTCACAATAGGTTGTTGTACCTTATGGCACAACGATCACCCCCTGTCTAAAACAATGGTGCTAACAGTATCAACAACATTACAACCATCTCTCTACCTTTACCATTACGCCATTATTATTACTACCACCATCGCTCGCACAACTCTGGCACAACTCTGGCACAACCTTTTTAACACCATTGTGATGTAAATATTACTATCATCGTCATTACCACCACTACTTTATTACCGCCACCATCACCACTAAATCAACATGGTCACCATCACTCCACTCCACCCCCTTCACCGATCATCACCATCACTACATTATGATTACCAATACCATTTTTTCTGTTTGATTTTCAATTTTTAAAAATAGTTTTTTAAGTTTTCAAGTAGTATTTTTATATTTTTAATGATTTTTTAAAATATTTTAAAGTAATTTTTTAATTTTTAAATTAACTTAATCTTAATATACTTAAAAAGTAAAAAAAAAAATATTAATTTTTTTTTAAAAAAATTCATTGAATACAACAAAATATAAAAAAATATATTAAATTTCATATTTTTTACATTTGGTGAATTTTTTAAACTTTTTTTCACACATATTATGCTTTTTAAACATATTTAAATTAGATGTATTTAAAAAATTAAAAAAAGTATGTAAAATATTAAAAAAAATTAAAAAAATAAAAAAATTAATTTTTTTGAACAGTGAATTCATTTTTTTTTCTAAAACCAAAATGGTGAATTACAACCTACCAACATCATCACTATCTTACCATCACATAATTATGATCGTTATTATCATCACTAGCATGTAAAAACAAAAAAATAGTCTGACATCTTTTTTATCTGTATGACTTCTAATTACTGTACGAAATCAACCAGGTGGTCTCCTATCGTAAGAGCACCCTCGCGTTACCTATTAAATTTTAGGCCAGTGCTTCTGTTGGATCCGTTGAGGCCCACTACGGGTCTGGTTTTGATAATTTGAACCGTTGAATGTGTAGAACTCGTCGAGTATTATATGCCTGTAAAAAATCACGTTGATCGGATATCGATAGTTATGTGAACAAAACAGTTTTTTATCAACCGTTAATCTTTTCACCGTCCATTTTTTTTTTATACAAAACTGATTTGATCACATAGCGATCGATATCCAATCAATGTGATTTTTTACAGGCATGTAGTACTCGACGAGTTCTACACATTGACGGTTCAGATTTTTAAAACGGGACCCGTGGTGGGCCCATAGGCCTAACAGTACGGTCCAATCCGATCCCAGACTGGACAGAAGCTGGACCTTAAATTTTACTCTGTTAGGATTTAGAATTATTCCACATATAAGGACTCGTTTGGTAAATGATTTTTTTAGTTAAAAATTTAAAAAATCACTAAAAAAATTAAAAAGTTAACAATATATATCAAAAAGTTAAAAATTTTATTTTTTCTCTACTTTTTGCACATCTTTTTGTAAAATGTTAAAAAATTATCCTAAACATATTAATTTTTTTATATAATATTTTATTTAAAAAGTCAAAAAATTACTAAAAAAAACTTATTCCTAAACGAGGCCTAAATTTTATATTATACAAATTTAATTTACATCACACAATTACTCATCTAAAAATTCTGAGTGAACGAGTCTCGAACCATAGAATTTTTCTTAGGACTTGTTTAAAAATTAATTTATTATGTATTTTAATTTCTAAAAAAAAAAGCATATTAATTTTTTCTTCATATATATATTTGACTAAAAACTCATATTCCCAAACACTTTAATGGGTGTGGTAAGGGATTGTTTGACAAGTAATTATTTTAACTAAAAAATCACTTAAACAGTTAAAAGGTCAGTTTGGTAGAATTTAAAAGCTGCTTATTTCAGTGTTTAGCTTAATTTAAGTTAAAATATTGTGTTTGGTGTAACTTAAGTTAATCAGCTTATAACTTAAATCAAGTTATTTCTTAGCTTATTTCAAAAGCTGGTCAGGGAGTGCTTAAATTTTTTACTTAAGTGTGCAGCTGGTGTGAGGGGGCTAAAATTACTTAAATGCCCTCGTCAATACCCAAATATTACTATTAATTAATATTAATATTAATTAAAAAATAAAAAATTGTATATTTCTAAAGAAAAAGAAAAAAATTAATATTAATTGAAAAATTAATTGGTATTAATTATTAATAAATTCATATTGTATATTTTTATATTAATTAAAAAAATTGTATATTTCTGAAGAAAAAGAAAAAAATCAATATTAATTAAAAAAATCAATATTAATTGGTATTAATTATTAATAAATTAATATTGTATACTTTTGTAATGAATTAATTATTAATTGATACTAATTAATAACAATTGTTGATTATTAATATTAATTGATACTAATAAAAATTAATTATTAATATTAATTTATACTAATTAATAATTTTAGTATTAATTGAGACTAATTAAGCCATTAATTGATACTAATTAATAATTTTAGTATTAATTGATACAAATTAAGGAATTAATTAATACTAATTAATTTATAATGAAAAATAATTGTGACAATAATACTTCCATTCATTTTTAGCAAATGTATCAATTTTTATATTAATTGACAAATTAATACTAATTATATTAACTTTTATTAATGAAAATTAAAACTGAAAAAAATGACAAAATAATCATTTTTATATCATATAAAGGTAGAAAAGATAATTATACAGTAAAAAACTATTTTACAGCTTATTAACCAAACACAACTCTGCTGCTTAAATTCATAATCTCACAGCTGCACTAAACAGGTTAACAGCTTATGTTTACAGCTATAAGTCATAATCTGTTAAGTTATAATTTATAATCACTTTTTCACAGCTCTACCAAACGGGACCAAAATGTCATAAACATTTCAACTTGTATAAAAAGGGTTTTTCGTATTGTTTAACTTATATTTTAGTAAAAATAAAAATAAAATTTAATAAAACTAAAACATTTGTTGGGTTTTGGTCAACCTGCCAAACAAGGCACTCCAAAACAAAAACAACCACCCAGACAAAACCTAACTTTCACGTGAACAACCCACGTACACTTCCCAAGAGTTAGTGGGCAAGAAGAGGGAAAAAAAGTTTTAATTAAATAAAATAATGCATATGATTAACAATAAAAGGGTGTGCAGTTCAGTTTCAGTTGATTTTTTTAAAAGGAAAATATCAAATGAATCACTTTTGACAGATTTGATGTGTATAACCCATAAAGGCTATGAATCACTCACGGTTCATCACTTGAAGCACAATGCATAACTCAGCTGATGAAGTTCAGGACAGCTGGAGTCCAACATGGCACAAAGAGCCAATGACATTCAGACACACGGCAAGAGAAGGATGAACCACATCAGCAGACAAAGATCTGCAAAGTTATTGACACTGCACATCACCATTAATGCAGCCCATCACAGCATTTATTACGACAACACCTCTCCGCCGAAACAGGACCCCCTTACCCTGAGCAAGGCGAGCTACAGCATAGGCTTTCAGCAAGGAGAGCAGGTCGGAAGGGACAGCGAAATGATTGCCAAAGGATATAAGTAAATGTTGTAGACAAGAAAAAAGGGTTAAGTTCTCTATCTCGAATCCTCTCCCCATATACTCTGCTTCTATTCCTAACTTGCTCGTCGGAGAGTTCGCTGGGGGACTACTCCGTTCCCCGTTGAACTTGCTTGCAGATTATCTGGTGGGCTTGATCATTTGAATACGGGCTGGAGGAGCTTAGACCTGTCTGATCCATTCACTGGGACGAACAACATTAACAAGATTGATTTTTTATTTTTTTTAAATTTCGTTAAGACGTGCATGCTCAAAAGCATGATTGAATATTTAAATTAATTCAAAATAATAATTTAACAGAGTTGAGAGGTTAAAAATGAGAAACATAAGAACATACAATCTTAATTTTTTTTTTAAATTATAATTTTAACAAAAATATTATTATTTATATTTCAAATAATATTTAACAGATCAATACAAATAATCAAATTAGAATATATATATGCGACAAAAAAGAATATCATTTAACTAATATTATTAGGCTTAAAGAGAGATTGTGCGAGCAAAAATACATATAGACGGGGTTGAATTGTTATTAGCAATTCAACAAATTTTAAATCATAAGTCGATCAACACACCTGTTTTTTATTGGTTAACTTGTCAACCCCATCAACTCACCTACTGAAATTACACGAGTTGATTTGAATGGATTTGGGGTGACAAATTTTTTACACACCTCTAATTAAAAACAGGTGAGTTATAATTCAATTCCATAAACTTTGCTCAAAGATATTTTTGTTTTGGGATCAGTAATAATATAGGAGTTATTTTGAAGCATAAGTTAAATTTTAATCCATCGACTAAAAAATATATATATATATATATATATTTAACATAAATAGCATATATATGTGCAATTTTCATTACACCGATACAAAATTGGGGAGTGGAGAGCCAAATCTCTAATTCCAGCCTCCAACAACCACCTCCGGTCAGTAATGAAACTAATTGCCCCGCGCTAATTCCGTTTACCAAACAAGTCCCATGGTATAGCGTTACATGGAATGATAAATATATATAAAGCATATGACTAATCTTATAACAATTAATAACATTAAGTCATATATATATATATATATATAAATAGTACTACTTAGGTAGTAACTTACTAAAAGCACACTCTACTAATCCAAATTGGAATTCAAGAAAGAGGAGACCTATGAGGAGCTCCCTTTCTCCTGCTGCTGATGGAGAGAACATTCATCCCAGAGAGGAAGCCACTCCCTTTCTTCTTATTCTTCTTCTTCGTCGTCGTCTCAGGGTCATGTGAAATTCCAGAACTACCCATGACATCGCTAGAGCACGATGAGCCTTTGAACTGTAATGAGTCCTCCAGGATGAAGTTAGGGGTAATTTGGCAATCGTCGTCGAAATTGTCCATCCGGAGGCCCTCAAATTGAGAGAAGGCGAAATCTGATTCATCGAACCGGTATAGGATGCTTGATAAATCTTCCCCTTGATCCACCATGTGATCAACCTGCATTGCCCTAATGTTTTCTTAGTAATGTGCATGGTACATTGTGTTTAAGGGGAGTGTTGGGGTTCTTTGGCCCACCTTTATAGGCCAAATTCATTTATCTTGTAAGACTTATTGAGTAGCTTATTATCAAAAATCAATAGCAATATGATCAGATCACATTTGTTTTTTTAAAAATAGAGCAACGTGATCCGATTAATCTGATTTTTTTCATAAATAAGAGTGGTGATTTAGAGCACTAAATTTGGAGCTCTAAGAATACCACTAATGAGGTGGCAATGTAAAGAAAAAAAAAATAAAACAAAACAAAGACCAAACTATCATTTCAATGGTGGGATCCACATGATGCCACATCATTAGTGGTGCATTAGTGTTGCTAAATTAGTGGTACGAAGTATTTTTCTAAAAATAAAGAGTGCAAAGTATCAAATTCACAGTGTATATAGCTTCACACTATACTAAGTTTGAATATACACCATTCGCTATATTTTATTTTTCAGATAATTTTTTGGATTACTTTTTATAATTCTGTAGTTTGTTTTTACTTTTTTTAATAAAATAATAATAATTAGGAACATGAAATTTGACCTTGCATGAAAGAGAACAGAAGTGAAAAGGGTCCTGGAGAATCCTATCACAGTTGAAGCAAAAGTTGGAAGAGCCCTTGCAAGACCTTGACTGTGCCCTCTGATTCAAGAATATCACTTTGGCACTGTTAATAGTATATGGCTGCCAAACAAGGAATAACACTCATATATCTTGTCTTGTGCATCACAAATGACCACAAGGTCAATAACCCCCCACACACACATACATATATATAAAGTCTAATCTGATAATAAACAAATTGATCACAAAATAAGACATAATATAATCCTCTCACGTGAGATAAGTCTTACTTTTTTGTGAATCCTATACTTACGTGAGAAAATTATGTTATGTTATGTGATTAATATATGTGTAAGTAAAAGAATTGTATATGTATACTCAATTCTTTTACTGGCAGCTCTATTGCCAAGGCAATAGTAGCTGTTGCCAGGGCAGAGTCCAATTCCTCTGGCTCTGGCAGTAGGACTTTTGTGTAAAGGTGGGCCAATCTTCAGTGTTGCTAGGGCAACAATTTATAAAATTACCCTTCTAAGGGACAATTTTGTCATTATGCAAAAGACGAGTAAAAATAGGGACACCTTTTTAACTAACTTTTACTTCTTTTCAAGTTTTGACTATTGATAAATAAAAAATAAAAAGAGTTAAAAAATCTCGCCTAAAAGACCACAAAAATGTAAAAATTATAAACCAATTGAGAAACTGCTCATAAAAACCTAACTACTTAAAAAGCCAATGCTCTTGATTTAGGAAGATTTTATCAATATATATATATATATATTAAAAATTGTCAGTATAGAAGGATGAGGTCGATTTGTCTCCATTCAATTCAAAATAAAAAAGTTAATTAAAATAATTTATTATTTAAAAAATATCATTATTATCACATCTGGTAAATTTAAAATTATCTATACTCTCAATTTGTAATCTTGTGATCTCATAGGTTATCACTACTAAGATAAGGATAATGTAAAACTAATTAAAATTTCAATGAAAATTAAACAAAATTGTCAAATTAAACAATCATTATCATATTTTCCCTTTATTTAACAGTCAAATTGAATATTGTATAGTATATTAATATACCTGAATGTAGGAACAGTCAATGAGCTTCTCGAGGTCGTCCAATCTAATAACATCATGGTAGACATATCTTCTCACCTGTCACATGGAATCAAAGCTTGAATAATTGGGAACTATCAAAATCTCTACTTTTTCCACTATGAAAATTCACCAAATTTATGTTTAAAAAAAAATAGGGAAATATCATACTAATGATACTAAACATTATAAGTATTAAAATATTAAATTATAAACTTTTTCATAATTGTGTAAATATTTTTCTGAAAACACACCTGACTTGTGTGTAATTTCTCTTAAAAGAATTGTCAACTAATATGATTTAATAATAGGAGAAATTTCAATTCAATTTAAATTCTAAAAATAATTACAGATAAGTAATAAACTTTACAAATAATTATTAAAGTCATAATCTTTTTCATGTATATGTAATATCTTTTTAAAAATACCACCTAGTGATAATTTCTCTTTAATAATGTTGACGTTTGATTGAAATACTATTTGGAATCATCGAATAGTTAAGTTGTGATTGGCTTCTTTTGAGTTAATTAGAGATTAAATTCAATTAATCTTGAATGGAGTCCACTTTTGAAGTGTAAGGAAATTTTTAAAGAACAGAAGAACACAGATGTAAGATAAAAAGTTAGTCCCACATGTGAACTCTATTTATGTGGGTTCTATACCTTTATCACATATTTATGAGTAATTTTGGGAAAATCTTCACTGTGCATAACATATCTATCACCTAAATTGAATTGGACCTCCGGTTAACTTAATAGGAGAGAATCCTATCTCAATTACAATTATGCATAATCAAAATTCATTTAAAACTAATAATATGTAAATAAAAATTACATATATATATATATATATAATACATACAAAATAATGTATCGGAATTATTAAGGGGTTATTTGAGGTGTCCTAAATAAGTGCACTTTTTATCTTTTTAGACTAAAAAATTGAGAAAAAAAATATGGATATTTGGGTTAACTTTTTAACTTTTTATGGAAAAATGTGTATTAAAAAAGGGAGCTTTTTTGATAAATTCACTTTCTAAGAGCATCTCCAACCGTGAATCAAAAATTTCACCAATTCTGAGTTCAAAAATGACCATTTCCTGAATTTGATACTTCAGGCTCCAACGGTTCACCTTCACCAAATCTATCCCGGGACAACCGGGTGGTCGACCGGCCGGTTGACCGGTTAGGCCAAAAAAATTTTTTTTTTTTTTTTTTATTTAGTTCATATTATTTTCTTATGTTTCAATGAGTCTTATGGGTGACATAATTACCAAAATACCCCTAATGTGAATGTTCACACCGTCAATGTGAATGTTCATATCGTCAATGTGTAGGGGAGCGACCCATGTCGATCCTCGTGGGTGCCTGGAAAAATTCGAGTCGGGCCAGGCCCGCCCCGGCCCGTTAACAATGTGAATATTCACATTGACATGTGAATATTCACATTAATAAGAGTGTAAAATTGGTCCGCATCCCGTGGCGGCGCGAAACCCGCCAACGGCCCATGGGCGGTCCGGCCCGTTGACAATGTAAATATTCACATTGACATGTTAACATTCACATTGATAAGAGTACAAAATTAATCTGTGGCCCATGGGCGGCCAAAAGCCTGCTCGAGGCCCGGGGCGGGCCCGGCCCGTTGACGAATATTCACATTGACATGTTAACATTCACATTGATAGAAGTGTAAAATTAACCCGCGCCTCGTGGCTGCCCGAAACTCGCCCACGGCCCGTGGACGGCCCGGGAGAGGCCCGGCCCGGCTTATTGACAATGTGAATATTCACATTGATAAGAGTATAAAATTGGCTAGCGGCCCAGGGCGGGCCCGACCCGGCCCGTTGATAATGTGAATATTCACATTGACATGTCAACATTCACATTGATAAGAGTGTAAAATTGACCCGCAGCTCGTAGGCGGCCCGAAGCCCGACCGCAGCCCGAGGCGGTCTTGGCCCGACCCGTGACAATATGAATATTCACATTGACATGTTAACATTAACATTGATAAGAGTGTAAAATTTGCCCGCTGCCCGAAGCTTGCCCGCGGCCCGGGATAGGCCCGGCCCGACCCGTTGACAATGTGAATATTCACATTGACATGTTAACATGCACATTAATAGAAATATAGAATTGGCTCGCGGCCCATGGGCTGCCCGAAGCCTGCCTACGGCCCGGGGTAGGCTCGTTTGGGTCCGGGCTTGAACATGTCCGAGACCCTAGGCTAGGGCCTAGGCCATCACTTTGAAGCCTGGCCCGACCAATCAACCCGCTTAAAGCACATTCAAGGCTCGGTCCGAGGCCCAGCCTGCCCGAGGCGCAATGTCTTTTTTTGTGGAAAATAATAAAATTTTGATAGAAAAAATTAAAAAGAATTAAAAAAAAAATGGCCAAGCCAGCCCAAGCCCGACCTAAGCTCGAGGTTAGGCCCAAGCCCACCGGCTCGATCCATCGGCCCGTCCAAAGCCCAAATATCCTTGTGCCAGAGATAGGGCCTGGGGCTAATTTTTTGGCCCGTTGGCCGGGCCGGGCCGGGCCAGCCCTAATTTTTTCGGACACCCACGAAGCTCGATATGGGCCGGCCCGGGCCTCTACGCATTGATGATATGAACATTCACATTGACGATGTGAACATTCACATTATGAGTATTTTGGTAATTATGTCACCCATAGGACTTATTGAAACATAAGAAAATAATGTGAACTAAATAGAATATAAGTAGATGAAAATAGTATTTTGGTTTTCTCACCTCAAATAGGACTTAATGGAATAGTCAAAAAGAACGTAGGCTGCCCGAAGCCCGCCTGCGGCTCGGGAAAGGCTCGTTTGGGCTCGGGCTCGAGCCTAGTTCGAGACCCTAGGCTAGGGCCTGGGCCATCACTTTGAAGCCCGGCCCAGCCCAGCCCATCGACCCAGTTAAGGTCCATTCAAGGCTCGGTCCAAGGCCCGGCTTGCGCCGAGACCTAGTGTCTTTCTTTGTGGAAAATAATAAAATTTTGGTAGAAAAAATTAAAAAAAAAATGGCTAGGCCCAGGCCCATCGGCTCGGGCCCGGACCCAAACGAGCTTGCCCCGGGCCGCGGGCCAATTCTACATTCCTATCAATGTACATGTTAACATGTCAATGTGAATATTTACATTATCAACGGGCTGGGCCTACCCCGGGCCGCGGGCAAGCTTCGGGCAGCGAGGAAATTTTACACTCCTATCAATGTTAATGTTAACATGTCACTGTGAATGTTCACAATGTCACGGGTCGGGCTACGGTTGGGCTTCGGGCCGCCCACGAGCTGCGGGCCAATTTTACACTCTTATCAATGTGAATGTTAACATGTCAATGTGAATATTCACATTGTCAACGGGCCGGGTCGGGCCTGCCCTAGGCCGCTGGCCAATTTTACACTCTTATCAATGTGAATGTTAACATGTCAATGTGAATATTCACATTGTTAACAAGCTGGGCCGGGCTTGCCCCAGGCCGCCCACGGGCCGTGGGTAGGTTTCCAGCAGCCACGGGACGCGGGCTAATTTTACACTTCTATCAATGTGAATGTTAACATGTCAATGTGCATATTTACATTGTTAACGGGTCGCGGGAGGGCTTTTGGCCGCCCATGGGCGGCGGGCCAATTTTATACTCTTATCAATGTAAATGTTAACATGTCAATGTGAATATTCACATTGTTAACGGGCCGGACAGGGCACGCCCTGGGCCGCTCATGGGCCGCCGACGGGTTTCGCGCCGTCACGGGACGCCGGCCAATTTTACACTCCTATTAATGTGAATGTTAACATGCCAATGTGAATATTCACATTGTCAACGGGTCGGGCCCGCTCGTCTCGCGAGCGGGTTTCGGGCTGCCCACGGGCCAATTTTACATTTCTACCAATGTGAATTTTAAAATATGAATGTTCACATCATAAAATTGCTAACCATTCAAAAAATATTTATAAGGATATCAAAATTAAATATAAGGGCATAAGTATCTAAGAAAATAGTGTAAATCAAGAAAAATGACTTTATGGAATAAAACTATACATACATGAGACTAAATGGGTTTAAAATTCCTTCATAAACTTCTTGGGTTAAAACACTTCTAAATGGGATTTATCAATAAAAATCCCATTAAAAAATTGTATAAATTAGTGTGTAGGAAAAAATTAAAATTGGAAGTTGTGCAGTCGTAATTTTTGACTTTTGATGAATAGTGATAACTTTTTAATTTTTTGAGTAACTTTTTAACAACTTGCCAAATTTGACCTAATGTATCACTTTAAAACGATATCGAAATTGCCATTCTCAATGACACATTACTCTCGTGAATAATTCTATACAAAAATTCTATAAAAATAATACTTTCCTTTGCTTAATAGCTTCTTAGTTGTAATTTGTGTTGAAGCATCTTTTTCTTGATGTTTTCCTTCTCTTTTTTTCCTTTTATTTTTTGAGATTTTTTAAATTAAGGTAAATCTTCAGCTTTTACAACTACCTCAAAACTTCGGTGTAAATAAAGTTAGGCAACCAACTTTCCATCATTTATTTTTCTCTGATACGAAAATTTTAAAAATAAAAAAATTAAAATTTGAAATAGAGATTTTTGGGAAGTAAAAACAAAATATACTAGAAATGAGGTTTTGGACAATTGGGTCAAACTTTCACTTTCATGAAAGCAACAGCTAAGAGGAAAGCAACAGCTAAAATGGAACTTTTGCAGGGAAAAATGGATAATAATAATAAAAAAAGTCTTCTAAATATGGGAAACAAAACAAAACTAAAAAGTGGAAATCAATGGTCCAAAGGATGAGCATGACACACCATTTTTAGAATTACCCATTAAAGAATTCAACAAGAAAATCAATCTTTTTTATGTTTCATTAAGAAAAAAAAATTGATAAATTTTAGAGGAAATTACACTGACATGACATATGTCAATCAAAAATTATTTATAAATAAATAAAAAATATTATAAATATTAATAATTAATGTTGTAAATTTTTACATTGGAAATCTTAAATTAGATAATTTAGATAATAACAAATACATCCTAGAATCTTTATGTTTTATTAAGAAAAAATGATAGATTTTACATAGAAAACCTTAAATTAGATAATCAATATAGAGTTAATTACACTTTGCTCCACCACAAATACCATTAATGTCTCAGTTTTAAAATCGTACATTTAAAAACTTTAAATATAAAAATCATATAAATATATTTTTTTTAGAGTAAAAATGAAACAATTTTTATAATTAAGAATTTTAAATTTAAGTAAGAAAAAATGATGTTAAGTGATAATTAAGAAGAAAAGTATCATTATTTTAATTTTTTATTTTTTGTAAATAAATAAAACAATAATTATAAATATAAAAAAAAATATTATATCAAATTGGACAACTAAAACAATAGCTAGAAATCCCAATTAACTGACTCAAGAAAAGGGCATAGAATGATGAGAATTACCCAAAAAAGCACACAAAGATGTGCATAATTCGAAATATATATTTTCCCAAGAAACAAGCTGGATAATTGAAGAAAGTAGTGTAAATTTTCCAAGAAACAAGGCGGGACATTGAAGAAAAGGATGAAGTGAAGTTCCTATATATATATATATATATATAAGCCCACTAGAAGAATCAGAGCAAACCACCAAACACCCAGAATTCATGAAAATTATTGAGACTTTTTCACAGAATTCATGGGATCAAAGTGATCATGAGCTCAAGAAAGACATGAAAAGTAGTACCAAAAACAGAAATTCAACCATGTGAAGCACTAAATCCAAAAATTCAAAGATACCCACTAAAATTCAAACAAAAAGCACATATGGGTTTGTAATTGAATTTGCTCATAATTGACTATAACTGTATATCTATATAGCTGAAGTAGGGATGGGAGTGATTGAAAAGAAGTGCCAAAAACAAATTGAACCATTTGAAGCATCAAACCCAAAAATTGAAAGATACCCAGAAGAGAGAAAAGGAAAATCAAAGATGGGTTTGAATTGAACTTGCTCATAATTGACAACAGCCATATATATATATACACATATAGGCCAAGTAGGGGATGAGATGAGAGTGATTGAAAAGAAGAGCCAAAAACAAATTGAACCATTTGAAACATCAAACCAAAAAATTCAAAGATACCCAGTAAAGAAAACAGAAAAAGAGAAGATGGATTTGAAATGAATTTGCTTATAATTGACTTATATAACTATAGCTGTATATATAGAGATAGATAGATGGATACCTGAAGTAGGGGATGAGAGTGATGAGAGGGAAGACAGTGAGGGCAAAAGCTTTGACAACAATCCAAGCAGAAGATGTTCTTCTCATTCTTCCTATGGTTCTGGTGGACTCCACATGTTGCAAAGAATGTCTCACCCATTAGCCCTTCTAGCCATGCAGGCTTCATCACCATGTCTCCTCCTCCTCCACCATCACCACCTCCACCACCACCTCCTGATGATGATGATTCTCTCACCATTTCTCTCTCTCCTCTCTCTAAAATCTAAGTCTATATATATATTAGTGTGTTAGATAGTATTATAAGGTATGTAAAGACAGTGAGAGAGAGAGAGAGAGAGAGAGGAGTTAGGTTCACATGCTTTGGCAAACCCTACCCACAAAGATCCTCCTGTATTTATAGCGGAGGTTCCAGCAATTGGTGTCGTTTTCACATAATATATACAGAAATCCCCACAAAATACAAAATATACCCACTTACATACATCTATATATGTGTATGCATATGTGTATATGTGTATATGATGAGAGAGAAAGACAGAGAGAGAGAGAGAGAGAGAGTACTGGACGAATGGTGTGGTGCGGCCTGCTGCAGAGTGGTGTTTATGGCGGGAAGCCAGCCCACCAATGTGTACTTTTTTTTTTTCTTTTTTCTTGCAAAAATACAAAACCATTTTTCAGAGGGAGTTGATTTGGGCACCACACCATTGAGCACCCTCATCTACCCTTTTTTGACTAAAATACCCCTCGAGTTCAGTAATTAAATTACAGAGTTCAACTAATGAACAATTAAAAACATTTATTTTTTAATATATCAGAGTACATAATACTTGAATGAATAAATTACTTGATAGATAATAAAAAAAAAAATGAAAAACCACTAAAATGAACTTGACTAGACCCATAACCCCTTGGACTAGAATCAGGATTCTCTTTGAGGTTCTTACTTGACTTCTATTTGCTGTGTCATTGGGTTTACTTTTAGGCCCAATTTCGATAATTCAAACTGTTCATATTTTAAGATTGGTTGAGTATATTATACCTGTAAAAAATCAAGTTGATCGAATATTAGAAAGCATATGTTCGAAAAACTAACTAAAAACTAATTTTTTTAAAAAAATTTAATAAATAGTTTTTCGAACACATACTTTTTGATATTCGATCAATTTGATTTTTTACAGATATGATATACTCAATAAATCTTAAAATGTCAACGGTTCAGATTTTCGAAACTGGGCCTAAAAGTAGGTCCAATAACATAGCAAGTAGGAAGTCAAGTAAGAATCTCAAGGAGAGGATCCTGATTCCATCGACTAGACGACCCAAGAAAGAAACCTCTTCCTTTGGTAAATTTTTTTTTAACTTTCATTTTTTATAACTTAAATTTTAATAGTGCATGTTAAACTATTATGAGTTAATTACATTAATAGTCCTTATAGTTTGGGACTTATGTCACTTTGGTTTCTGACTTTTCAATTGTGACACATTTGACTCTGAATTTTGAATCTGGTTTCAAATAAAGGCAATTGAAAATATTATTAGATTTTTCAAGAGTAAAATCATCAAGTTGATAAAATATAAACTAATTTGACAAAAATAAATGTCAAAAAAATATTTTTAATTTTTTAAAAATTATTTTTATCCACCAATGATAAAATTATGTAAAATTAATAAAAATTACATGATTAAGTTTTTAAAATTAATTTTACATGATTATCATCCAAACACATAATAAAAATTATTTCGGTAAAAAAAAATTAAATGTCTAAAATATTTATCAATTTTACATAATTTTATTTTTAGTAGGTAGAAATAATTTTTAAAAATTCAAAAATATTTGTTTGACATTTGTTTTTGTCAAATTAGTTTATATTTTATCAAATTGACAATTTTACCCTTAAAAAATCTAATTATATATTCAATTGTCCTTATTTGGAATAAGATTCAAAATTTATGGTTAAATGTGTCACAATTGAAAAGTCAGGAACCAAAGTGACACAAAGCCCAAACTATAGGGACTATTTGTGTAATTTGCCCAACTATTATACTTTTAAAAGAGTTTGAGATGTTTGAAAGAGAGTTTGAAAACTAATTATTTTAGTTAATTTTTAAATTTTTTTATTAGGTAGTGATAGAGAATTCTAAAACTAGAGTTATAATATGGGCTCCAGTGATGAAAAAAAAAAAAAAAAAAAAAAAAAAAAAAAAAGAGCCAAAATATCACATTACTATGTGGGGCTCGTCATTAGAGTTCTATTAAAACTCCCAACTCCTAAACATTATTGGTTTTTATTTAAAGATGTGTAAAAAAAGAAAAGAGAATGATGTGGTTTAATTAATGTTTTAATTTTTTGATTATTTTATCTAAAAAATCAACACTCCAGACAGGGCCTTATTAGTGTTTGTATTTGAAATTATATATTTTTGTTAAAAAATTAATACTCCTTCTATCTAAAAATATTAATCTCTTATATTATATTTTATTGTCTTAAAATATTAGTCTCTTTTCAAAAATCAAACACTACATTAATATTAATTTCTTATTTTATTCTTTTTTAAAATTTATTAATATTAATATATACAAAAAGTATAATTATGATAATTGATGTTTCAAAAAAATTGCACTTTTTAATTTTAAATCAAAGGATAATTTTGAAAAGTTAATATTTTTAAAGTCTAATAATTATATTATTAAAAAAATTAAATTTTTCAAAGAGGATAAATATTTTAGGACGGAGGGTGTAGTACATATTTTGTATTTTTTTTTATAATGGCCTGGTTTGAAAAGTTGACTATTTATGTTATTTTAGTTTTTAATTATATTACTAGGCTAAAATTTTTATATTTGAAAAGATAATTAAATTATTTTATAATTAAATATGATATTTATAAAAAAAATAAATAATTATTATAAATTTAATATAAAATTTTATTTTATTAACTATTTTAACATATTTTGTCTTTTTTATAAATTTTAACATTAAAAAAAAAATCATAAAGTCACTTCTGCCAATATAAAATTTTTGAGAAGGCTTGTCTCTTTTTAGGTCAAAGAGGAGTAGCCCTACCTCGTTATATACAAGCTAGTGATATGACAAGAATGTCCTTTATTATTATTTTTTTAAAATAAATTACAAATACATTCCTTAACGTTTGATTAAAATATAAATTATTTTTTATAATTTTAGAAATTATATTTTACTTCTTGAGATATCTAATTTTATAATAAATCGTTCATTTTATAAATAAATTATCAAGTCAATTAATATTTTTTAATTATGTTAAAAATATGTTTTAATTAATAATTTAAATAATTTTATTATTGTATAGGAGAACAATTATGAATTTTATTTTTTCATTTAATTCTGATAAATAAAAAATTTTCACAATAAAATATTCGTAATTTTTTAAATTATAAAAAATAATTTATATTTTAAACAAATCTTATAAATGTATTTATAATTTACCATTTTTTTATTACAATACATATCTTTGTATTTTGTTTTTATTTTCTTGAACCCTCATCGAATAACTAAAACAATATATTATTAGGTACTCGAAACACCAAATTGTAGCGTTGTTGTCTTGTACTATTGGGACGCGTGTCCCTTATCAAATATTACTGAAACAGTGATACGGCATACATTCGTTCCTGCCTTCAGATCTTTAATAAAATGAGAAAAATACAATTCAGTATATTAGAAAATAAATTATTCATCAGTGGTAAATTAAACAAATTTTAATAATTAAAATTTTTATTTTTTTTTTGTATTTATAATTTTTTAAGAATCTATTGAATTGTAATTCTCTCTAATAAAATCGTACATACACGTAATTAGATTATTTGTCAAGTTATAAATTTTGTTTCGCTAATTCAAGCTGTTGTATATTACTTTTATAAAATAAAAAAAAAAATATCGTTCTGATAATAGTAATCCATTCTTTTATCACATTTGTCTCTAAAAAATAAAAAAATGAAAGAGCTATGATTATTGAATGACCTATTTTTCTATAAGAATTTGCAAGGATAATATACATACAATGCTTTATAAATGAACAACTTAAATTATTAAAATGAAATTTGTAATGAATTCATGGACCAAGACAACACCCTCGATCCAAATTTGAACCGAAGAGGAGCCCGACCCTTTTTTTTTAGTGGAAATATCAAATCAGGTGGAACAATGGAGAAATTATTACATTATAGATTAAATTTTTTATGATGCAGCTTTGACACAGTGAGAAGTTACACCATGCACATGACAGTTATGTACTGTGGGGATATATTTTCTGAGTACCAACACGTGGCAAGGTGACGCCGACGTGTCAGCTGAGGTGCCACGTGTCTTGGTCGTTGTGCCGAGGTCATCTCGGCTAGGCTGAGGTTGCCTCCGAAGATATCGGAATCCGAGATAGGTGGATAAGGGACAAGAGTCCTAGAATGAAGAGGGAACTCAACTTGGATATGGACAAGAGTCCTAGATTGGGAGAAGACTTCAGTTTGGGTAAAGATAAGACTCTTAGAGAGTTTATCCTAATCCCACTGGGAGTCCCAGATTAGCAGTAATCCTAAGTCCATTAGGGCCAGGCTCCTTTTGGGACTAGGATTGTATTGGCTATAAAAGAGATGCACCCCCATGGGTCTAAGGTATGCTTTTGAGACTCAAGTTTGTGAGTTTAGTACTTGATTTATCTTTGAGAGATATATTGACTTGATCGTCGGAGTGCCCCCGGGTGGTCGAAACCACCGCGGGATTCTTATATTTTTGTTACAGGTCAGTCGGATGCCATCTATTCTGCCAGTGCTCTCTAGCTGGTTACTAAGCGGGCAGTGTGGTCGGAAAATCACCCACACAATTTGGCGCCGTCTGTGGGAAAGAAAGAAGAATAGATGGCCAATGACGAACAGAAGGATCAGACTGGAGACAACACTCCTGCTGGGAATGGGAGATCTATCAACTTCGACGTTGAAGGGGACAACCGCAACACAAAAACTCGTGACCAGAGTCACGGAGTGAAAGACGCCGGCCAGGAAGGTGATGCACCAAAGACAACAGATCGAAGCGGATATTACAACGAAGATGACCTCCAAGTATGGAAGGATAGATACCTACGGAAGAACGAAGACCATTCCAGAAGGGATACAAAAGACAAGGGGCATGAGCGCTCCCAAGAAGATAACATTCAAGTATAAAAGAGCTTAACCTGAGTGAGCAAATCCCAGATCCCAGATCCTAGAAGACATGATCTCGGCCTAGATGAGTAGGTCTGAGAAAAGAAGAGCTCAACCTGAGTGAGCAGATCCAAGATTCCAGAAGATAAGATCTCGGCACCTGAGTCTGAGAATAGAAGAGCACAATGAGCAGATCTCAGATCCCAGAAGATGAAAAGGAAACACACAAGATCAGACTAAAGTTGGCCAGAATTGAGAAGTATGCTAGGGCCAAGGAGGACATGCCGGGAACAAAGGCGTCGGAACAAGAAAAGAGAAACGGCTCGCCGATGCAAGGCCGAAAATCAGACTCAGGTTGAAGCCAAGTAAGA